CAGAGCCCAGCAGGTCGAGGCTGCGGTGGCTGGGAGCAGCCACTGCACTCCAGTCTGGGTGACAGAGGGAGACTCCAACTCAAAAAACAAAAAAAACAAGCTCAAGAAGTAGTGAGAGGAAGGCGGCTTATTCCAAAAGCCGCAGATGGGGAAACGGCCAGTTTCACGCTTCAAAGCATTTTAACTTCCACACTGCAGACAGGGGTTTAAAAGGGAAACTAGGTCCAGGAAGCTTGTGGGGTGACAATGGGTGCTGGTCCACGAGGCTCATTCGGATGGCTGTCTTGAGTTATCACCTGTCCAGTGTCCAGGCTGGTGCTGTCTTAAAGCTGTAGATTAACCGCAGCCTTGACGCAACCTTCATGGAGAGAATCCCACTGCTGTTCAGTTTGCTTCAAGATTCGCCCCAGTCAGCCGCAATGGCTCACCCCTGGGATCCTAGCGCTTTGGGAGGCTGGGGCAAGAGGAATATTTGAGTCTAGGAATTTGAGACCAGCCTGGGCAACATAGCAAGACCCCATCTCTACAAAAAAAATTTAGAAATTAGCTGGCCATGATGAGGCACACTTGCAGTCACAGCTACTTGGGAGGCTTAAGTGGAATGATTGACCAGGAGGTCGAGGCTGCAATGAGCCGTGATCATGCTATTGCACTCCAGCCTGGACAACAGAGTGAAACCCTGACTCACAAAACAAAAAAAAAGATTAGCCTCCAGAACTTCCAGGCAAGCACTTAATTAGACAAGTGAACACAATGCAAGGGAGTGTCAGTGGGAAAAGGGAGAAAGAGAAGAAGAGAAAAACTTTTAAAATGCCTTTTGAAATGCGGTCCCCGGTGATAGTGGCCAATGGGCTGCGGGTGTGCAGGAAGGTTTCTTCGTGAACATGAGAGATTGGCAGAGGTTCACAGGGAGAGGGAAGAGCCGGTGGAGAGCTGGCACAGGAGGTGGCTCGGAGACATCACCACTGTTTCCCTCATGCTCGGACTCCCTGGCTCTTTTGCGGTTCTGGGTGCAGGGGATGTAATGTGTTCCCTGGCCTTAGAAAACCTTCTGTGTATTTTCTCTTGCTCTCTGACCAGACTGCAAGATCCTTTATGGAGGGACTGTGTCTTGTTCACAGTTATAGCTGTAAGATCTATCACAGGGGCCAGCACATACTCGGTGCTCAGTTAGGGTTTGAGAATCTGCTGTTCAATTATAACAAAAGTAGTGAGTAACTGTCTTAGAAAAGCTATTTGCTGAGATGTCAGTAAAATAATAGGGTTTGTTTTAAGCTCTTCCCAGTTCTCTGTGATTTTGAAATGATGAACTCTAACTCCTTTCTCAACAGGCAGTCCTACTCGTTTTGATTTTTGTTCTCAGAAAAAGAATAAAATGGACAGTTGAGCTTTTCCAAGTCATGAATAAAGCCATCAGCTGCTCTCCTGTCCTGCTGTCCCTGCCACTGTGGACGTGTGCCATCCTCATTTTCTTCTGGGTCCTCTGGGTGGCTGTGCTCCTGAACCTAGGAACTGCAGGTAAGGGACACTGGGCTGGATCCCAGCACACTGGTGTCACACACAGGAGACATGACCACTGTGGACCCGCTGGCCTGTTCTGCAGGCACCAAACCTCTCATGCAGCTAGAACTGTCGATGACAGCAGTGATGGAGCCGGGGCTCTGTCTCAGGGGGTAGGAGAAAATCTGTTTCCCTCTTTGTATTGTCTTTGAAGAAGCTGGACCTGTGTTTCGTGAATAAATGAGTTCAGTATGGACTGAAAGCCTTAGGAAAAACTGAAATATGAACAAAGGCTGATGAACTATTATCAGATGTCTCCAGGTGTGACTGTTACCCAGGGTAATTTGCCAACCTTTTCAAGTCAGTGGGTGATTTTTTTAAAAGGACCCAGAAAAGAGTCTTTTTTTTTTTGAGTTATTCAGCTGTGGGGTAGAGAAAAGATTGAGGTGGTGTAAGGTGGGGCCAAGGGAATGCATGCAGGAACTAATGAGATCTAGAAGAGAGGGGACAAGACTTAGGCTGTGGCATCAATGCCTTGTACCCAGGAGAGCCAGTGCAGGTGTAAAATGAGCACATAGAGGAGTTCATATTGCTTTGGTCCTGAAAAGACAACACTGCCTCACCCATCCTCCTGTCCTGCCCAAATATTGTTTCTCCAAAGGGTGGTCCTCAGAATCAGCTTTGGTGTTTTATTAAAGTACAAATACCCACGCCCCATCCTTAGAGATTCTGATTCACTTGTTTTGGGATGGGACCATGTGTCTATTAAATATATGAGGAGTAATCCTACCCCTCCACAGGAAAAACCAGAATTATCTTTGGGAGGGCAGACCCCTTATAGCACACTCGGAATTTGTTCCTCCAGATCCAATGGTCAACCAAAGTTTTTATCTGAAAGTTTTGTGAAGGTTGCGACACAATGTACAGAAGGAACATCCTGAGTGGTGGCAAACAGGTGACTGGTTTTCCCACCATAACACACCTGCCCACACCGCGCTGAGTGTTCAGCAGTTTTTGGCCAAAAACGGCATGATCCCCATGCTCCACCCTCCCTGTTCACCTGATATCACCACAAGTGACTTTTTTTATTTGCCTGAATGAAAAAAGCCCTCAATGGAAAACATTTTGCCAGTGTAGAATCGGTGAAAGGAAAAATGGCAGAAGCACTGAAAGTCATCAAAACCAACAAGTTCCTAAACTGTTTTGAACAAAGGAAAAGGCATCTCTATAGGTGTATGGTATCAAACAGAGAGTACTTTGAAGATGACTGAAGTTTAAACATGTAAGAATTACACCATTTTAATAAATAGACTCTGAGGGTTTTTTGGGTCCCCTTGTGTGTGGATATATATGTTGAGGCTTCATAACAGGGCAACCGTATTCTGAAGCGATGCCATTCAAAGAGCTGTCAACCTAGATAAGGAACTTATGGCAGAATATGTGTCACTCTATTGCTTCCTTCATTGAGAAAGTCTTGCTGTGGAAAAATGATAACGTCCACTGAACGCAGCAACACGTTGTTCAGTGATGCAGTTGATCTACATCTGGCGCCAGGTCCTTATCTCACGGCAGATAGTAACAAGGTGAGGACAGGCAGCCCCTCTGGGGATCACACCTTGAGGGGCACTGTCTTAGACCTTCTCTGACTCCTCTGTCTGGTTTGATAAGACCCAAATTCACACCTGTGTGTGAGTACAAGGAGCGAGTTGCTGCCTGAGACTCACCCAGCAGATGCGAACCATGGCAGATGTTGGCTCCACAAGGCTGATGCCCCTCCTCGTGTGCTCCCTGCTGACTCAGTCATACCCACAGAAACAGCTGCTGACTGGTAGGGTCCTGGTGGGCTTGTCCCCTTCCCTCTCCTTTGGAGGGCGCCGATACCTCCCTCTGCGTCAAGATGGCCCGCAGGCTCCCTGGCACTAGCAGCCGTCGGGAGCTCACGTTTCCCAATTCAGAGGCACTGTGGGCCAAGCTCTCCTGCTGGGGTCTCTGGAAGCTCGCTGAAGGTCTGCAGTGACTTTCTGACTGTTATTCAGGGAGAAGCTTGGTGAAACAGGTGCAGGGCTAGATCACTCAGGATGAGGTTTGGGAGTGAAAGAAGACTCAAAGCCACAGAGGCTTGAGCACCCTGCAAGGCAGTTTCCCTTCGCAAAGGGGAAGTCCACAGGGGGTGATCTGTGCCAGCACAGCCCTCCCTCCAGGGGCCCAGGACTTGGAAACCTGCACACTTGTTCCTCAACCCCTGCCCTCTGCTTCTACCTCATAGTTGGAATGACTGCTTGGGCTCCACATCTCATTCTGGCCATGAGGAAGGTGGTAGGGAAGATGACAGGCAGGTCCCTCCTGGAGACCCAGGCAGCACCTCCACCCCTATGGCCAGATCATAGGTACATGGCAACACTGATCTTCAAGGCAGGCTAGGAAACGTAGTTTCATTTTAGGAGACATGCACAGTTTGACACTCAGAGGTGGCTCACACCTGTAATCCCGGCACTTTGGGAGGCCAAGGCAGGAGGATATCTTGAGGCCAGGAGTTCAAGACAAGCCTGGGCGACATAGTGAGACCCCCATCTCTATAAAAACATGTTTTTTAATGAGGCATGGTGGCACATGCCTGTCGTCCTAGCTACTAGGGAGGCTGAGGCAGGAGGATCACTTGAACCCAGGAATTTGAGGCTGCAGTGAGTCATGCACCCCAGAGCAAAACCCTATCTAAAAAAAATTTTTTTCAAATAAATAAATATCTCAGAGGTTCTGTTACCAAGAGAAGAAGGAAGAACAGATGCAGCAAAAAAGGTAGAAGTCTCAGCACTGAGCAGCCTTCCTTCAGCTAGCCTGCTTGAAGTGGTCTCAGTCCTGGTCAGAAGGGAAGGTAGTGGCCCTGGTTGATGAAGGGAAAAAAACCTCATTGAAAATGTCCTGGATTCTAAGCCCTGTGCTGGCCCCTTCTTGCGCCCTCACTTCTAAGCATCAAGTCCTTTATGATATGTGTTGTAAAGCTCAAAACGGGCAAGACAGCCAAGGTTCTGAGTGAGTCACTTCCGAAGGGCATGCAGCTGGGTGGCATGGCGCTCTCTGACTCCAGGGCTTTCGGACAGAGTCTGTGCGCTTTCCACTGCCTTACACTTCCCTTGTGTTGGGATGCGACACTAGGAAATAAAAGTAGGCCTTCTCAAGTGTGTTCAAGATGAAGCACTATTACGGACCACAGCAGGTGGTCGGTGTTGCAGGCTGAGCCGTAATGCGGTGTCGGGCCCTGTGGCTGCAGGCGACGGGCCGGGGTGAGGCTGGCAGCTAGAGCCAGCTAGAAGTGAGGCGTGATGGGAGGTGGCGGAGGGCAGGGCTTGGGAATCTTGGCTCAGGACCAGCAGAGGGCTGCCCTCTTGAGCACAGTCAGCCCGCATGCCAGCCCTGTTGGCGTGAGTCTGGATAAAAAGGGAATCGTGTCTGTGCTCCGACCCCAGAACGTTTTGGAGCAGGGCACGTTTGTTTTTTTCTTTAATCCACAAATGTTTGGTGAGCAGTGTGGGTCCAAGACCCTGAGCAAGGCACTGGGGGAGGTGGGGACAGGGCTGAGGCGGCCTTTCTGCCCACAGTGCTCGAGTCCAGCGGGAGAGACCAGCAGTTAACCATGCAGTACAGGTTGACAGGTGTTGGGACAGGAGACATTGGGGAGCTATGGGACCACCAGCAAGGGGCGCTAGCCTGCACTGGGAGTCAGGGAAGGCTTCTTGGACTAGAAATTGCCAGAAGATCAGAAATACAGAAAGAGGCCAGAGGGAACTCAGTGGAAGTCATGATAACTCAAGGAGGGACCTGGTCACAGGGGACAAAGAAGGAGCTCAGCCCTGAGATTGGGGTGGGAAGTCAGAGAGAACAAAATTGAGGCTGTTCTAGGGTGAGCTACTTGCCTGGGGTGAGCTGCCGGCATGTGCCCCAACCTGCCCTGCCCAGGCCCCAGTGTGCCTAGTGTGGACTAGCCTCACTGCCAGGGTTGAGAGCAGAAGGTGCAAGAAGGCAGGTTGCTCTCCAGGGCTCCATAGCCCCCTTGCAGGGTCGTGCGTTGAAGTGTGATGGTCCTCAGCACAGGAAGCCACAGAGGGCAGGAGGGGATGGTGCCCAGGGCCTCTGTGGCCTGCGTGCAGCTGACTTCGGGCTTCTTGGGAGATAGGGTGCTGCACAGGGCCGCTTGACCCCTCCTCACCAAGGTTGGTACCAGAACCCGGACGGGCCTCCCTACTCTCCCCTAGCCTGTGGCTGGCCAAAGGCACACAATCCCCTTGTCTTCAGAGGCCTTTTCACCAGTGCCAGAGTGCTAGTCTCTGGGACCAGACGGGTCAGCAGCTGCATCCCTCTTTGATCTTCAGAAGATGCCTGAACTATATCGGGGAGACAGAACTGCTTCCATGCCTGGTGAGAAGCCACCAGGGCATTCGGGGAGCGAAGGCTCCGCACCAGGCGGGGGGTATCTCATGTAACGTCCTGTAGACGCCATGGGAACACAGATACCTCTTCAGGCGAGTGCCTGATTTTGGGGGGGGGGGTTTCCTCTATGAGTAAATAGTTGCAGGTTTTTAATTGTGTCAGATGGTTGAATGAATTATTGTTTTGATGAGTTTTTTTTAAAAAAGATAAACTCCGGTTGATTGTTTTTGCCCAGATGGGCGCCATTTCTCTAATAGCTGTTAATTGGTCTGTTGACTCATTGACAGATTCTGGCTTGTTTGAGGATTTTTCAGCAGAGCATATGAAGGTCGCCCCCAAAATGACACTTATTAGTCCATTGGGACTTGCCAGCTACCAGCAACATGACAGCAACTACTAAATCCAGTGGGAAAAAGGAAAAACTGCAACGCCTTTGGGAATCTAGCAGATGCTGTGGGTGGGCTGGGAAGCGTCCAGGTGACTTGGTCACCCCCTCCGGCAGCAGGGTAGTCGGGAAGCCATGGAAGGGGCCGCTTGGCAGGGACTGAGGCCTCTCTTGAGGTGTTGCAACACACACGGCTCACACAGTGTGC